CCAATAAGGGGCGGAACAATGGGCAGGTGCAGGGGGAGAGTGCAGGTAGAAGCCAATACACCTTGGAAGTGGCTTTCAAGCGGGCTCCCTGAAAGTATCAACTCCTGTGGAGCTGCCTGCCCCCACATTGCTGTTTCTTTATCAAAGGTTTAAGCACCCTGCCTGCCCCTCCACCCACATGCAAACGTTTAACAGCTAAAATTTCCAGCAGTTACAAGTTTGCACAATACCTGTTAATTAACCTCACTAATACAAACTAGAGATGTTAAAAATAGTTTAATAGGGTAAAAGCTGAGCATGGTTACCTAGGTTGTGGGCTCTGCAGTATAAACATTAGCTTTATACTGAAGAGCTCATGGTGAAGCCTTCCTGGGAGTAGGGCCAATAGTCCCTGCTGACCCAGCTTCCAGGGAGGAGGCTCTGCTGCCGCAAAACACATTTTGAATACAACCTCTAAAATAAAAGGGAGATAGGATAAACTGACATGGGACCACATAGCTGTTATCAGCCAAGATGTCAGTACAAGCTGCAATTATCCAATCACTGAGAGTTTTACTGTTTCACCCTGAAAACAAGGCAAGGGAGACCAGGTCTGTTCTCCTGATGGAACTTGTTGCTGCAATTCGGGGCCCCCAACAAGAGAGACAGGTGTGGGGGAAGAGAGAGGAAAGTAGAGATGTTAGATAGCATGTAATGGAATAACTGAATTCAATTAAAAATTTCAGCATCACATTTTAGCAGTCACATGACTATTTGATAGTCCCTGGGGGCGAATCCAACAGCCCCATTCCCAAGGAGCCTCGTGCAACCCCGCACTACTGCCTCTCTATCAGAGGTAGTGGCACAGAGTGGCAGGCAGGAGTCAGTGCGCAGACCAGCTCACCTGCTGCCCCCACATTGCTGCCTCTGTCCCAGGGTACCTGATCTTCCTTGCAGACAGAGGCTGCCTTGTGGCAGGGGGCCCCAGTACTTGAAGGGAGGGGAGAGGAGGCAGGAGCCAATACATGCAGGGAGCTGGCTTTTAAGCTGACTCTCCATGTGTGCTGGCTCTCTCGACCTGTCTGCCCACTCCCCTTACTGCCTCCTACAGAGGTAGGGGTGAAGGGCCACCTTCCCTCCCCTGCCTCCATGCTACTGCCTCTTTTAGAGGCATTGGGAAGGCGTGGGGGGTGGAGAAATGCAGGCTGCAGTGAAGCAGCATCTGTCAGCAGGGGCTCTGAGGTCCCACAGACAGGGGCTGCTTCCCAGCAGCAGCACGAAGATGGGTAAGCCAGCAGATGTGGTGCTCATGGGGAGTGTGCTTAAAGCACTGGCTCCCTCCTCTGCATGGGAATGCGAGCAGTCAACAGGATTAACTGATAAACCTAGGCTTATCGTTAATTGTATAGTTGTCTACATACTGGCATCCCTAGAGGAAAGAGGCAACAATTCATTCCCAACCCAATGGTAAAGGCAATTCAACCTCTCAACAAGGTCATTCTTTTCCAAAAAGGAGACATTAGGGTCCAGCTTGAGTGTCTTAGTGTACAAAGCGTTCACCCATTCGGGAAGGAGTGAACGTGCATGGGGCGCCTACTAAGGAGAGAGTGCCCGGAGATGAGGATACAAGCCTGCGCTCAATCTGGTGTGCACGGCGGGAAGTGGTGCGCATTCCAGCCCCTTTCCCGTCGCGGTCAACGGCGCCGGACTCACCTCCGAGCTCTAGCTGCACAGGCTCAGTAGGGGGCGG